GGGGTGACCCAGGGGTACCTGAGGGGTCCTGGGGGGAGCTGAGGGGGACCCGGGGGTACAGCAGGACGCGGAGGTCGTGAGGACACCCCCCCTAGCCCCGCTGGCAGCAGCACAAGGGACACGCAGCACCCAGAGGATCACACGTGTGATGAAGATGCTCAGCCTCTGCCCGTGTGCCAGCAGGGGCTGCTGGGCTGGGAGGGGTTGGTCAGCCCAAGGCAGCACTGCTCTCTTCCCCACCCCCTCCCACCCCCTCATTTCCAAGCAGTTTCCTGCAGGACATCCCAGAATAAACCCATGGTCATGGCTCTCGCTCAAGGTTCCAGCCCCAGAAGTGCCTCCTGGGCAGGGTGTGGGGCTGCCAGCATCTCTGGCCTTCACCCTGCTGTGCTCCAGGAGGTGGCCCAGCCCTGGGGGTGATGATAAACTCAGGGAAATCCAGCCCAAGGCTTTTTAAGGAAGGGGAGAGCAAGCAGAGAGGATGACCCATGGGGAAGGTATCTGCACCAGGCTGCATGGAGCCACGGTGGAAGGTGCTGCACCCCTGGGGATCAAAGGAGGAGCCCCGAGGGAGCAGGACACTGGGATCCCCTTCCTGCAGCACTTGTTCCCCCTGCAGAACCCCGAGCTGGGGCAGGAGCCTGTCCTGGCACACTCTGCACGGGCTGATGCTGCTCAGTGCCATGGCTGGGATGTCAGATCCCTCTATGTGTGTCTGTCCCCAGCCTGGGGTCTGTCCTGCTGGCTGGGCCCCCTGCTAGCCCAGTCCCCTCCCTGCCTGGCCAAGTGCTGGCCAGGGGATCCCCCCCAGGCTGAGTGTGCCTGGATCCCCCCGTGCTGTGTCAGTGCCCACGTGATGGGGCCAGGATGCTTTCAGCATTTATGGTCATGTTTGGGTTTCTCATCGCTTTACCAAACAGGACAAAGGGGGAAAAAAAAACAAAAAGAGCCTAGTCAAGGGCTGGGTGTGCCCAAATAATTCCCAGCCTCTGGCTGTGCACCTGCCTCTCCCTGCTCCCACAGCCCTGCCAGGGTCCCTGCTCGGGTGGGCCAGAGAGAGAGGGGCTGGGGGGTTTTGGAGTGCGGGGCTCTGGGGGGCGGAGGGGGCCTGTGCCTGCCCTCCCCTGCTGTGGGGTGTCTGGCTCTGCAGAGAGAGCACCCAGGGGGTGGGTTCAGGCTGGGACACCCATTTGGCTGGAGCAGAACAATCCCCCAGTGGAAGGTGCAAGGAAGGGAAACACCAGCCCGGGGCCCCGAGGGGGGGGGGAAGGAGGTCCATGCCAGGGTGCCAAGCAGCTGGGCCATGGCCAGGACCCCTCCTTGCCAGGTCCCCCCCAGCTGTCCCTGCACTTGATGGAGGTCCAGGCACGATGCCACAAGGCTCCCAGCTGTGCCTGTGACAGCTGCTGACAGCAGGATGGGGTGGGACCCCCCCCCCCCCCCCCCCCCCCCCTCCCACCC